TTAATGGGCCTCGCTGTTGCTAGGCCTAGCTATTGCTTTGACGAGCTAATGGGCCTCTCTGCTAAGCCGAGTTGTTGCTATGCCGAGCTAATGAGCCTCGATGCTAGACCGATTTGTTGCTAGGCCGAGTTGTTGCTATGATGAGCTAATGAGCCTCGATGCTAAACCGAGCTGTTCTAGGCCTTGCTGTTGCTATGACGAGTTAATGGACCTCGATGCTAGACCGAGCTGTTGCTAGGCCTAGTTGTTGCTAGGCCGAGCTAATTGGCCTCGCTGCTAGGCCGAGCTAATGTGCCTCTCTGCTAGGCAGAGCTAATGTGCGTCGTTGCTAGGCCGAACTGTTGCTAGGCTGAGTTGTTGCTGTTCTTACTAAAGCACTTACCGGTCCATGAATTAAGCTTTCTTCTGTCTGGTTTGCCGATCTATTCTCATATGTTATATCTTCTAGCCCCCATTATGAAACGAGTTATTGCTTAACGAGCTTCAGTAGACTTGTTTGATAATTATAATAATATCGGTAGTAAATATATGTACGTTTTCACTAATTACTTTTAGCCCGTCTTCATGTTAAATCCGATATGCTATATATTCATAGCTCGTATATTGAACACCATGTCTTTACACGGGCACCGCGATGTCACAAAGCGAGCTCATCATCACACGAGTTCCGTCTTTTTAAAACTTGCTTTAAGTACTCCGTGTGTTTTCCATTACGTGCACATATTCTCCGAGCCATAACTGGGTTCATAATAATACCCATAATTAATAGCTCGCTTATACCCTCCAATATTCCTGTGCAATATGGAACTACTCCTTCTCTAACCAAAATCTCGTTAAGCATAAATAGCTAGGTTATTCATCAACTTCTCCGGGCTCGTCTAAGCAACACCCGCACATAAAGAACTCGGCCTTGTCCGAACGACACCCAAACAACATAAAGAGCTCGGGCAATTGTCTAAGCAACACCCGCACATAAAGAGCTCGGACTTGTCCGAGCGACACCCAAACAACAAAAAGAGATCGGGCTTGTCCAAGAACACCCGAGCAACATAAACCCGAGCAACATAAAGAGCTCGGGCTTATCCGAACAACATGAAGAGCTCGGACTCGTCCGAGCAACACTCGAACACCATGAAGAGCTCGGACTTGTCCGAGCGACACCCGAACAGCATAAATGAAATGCTTCATATAGGTTTGGAGATGTGTTCATACTTCATAGACCTTAGCATTGTTTGTCAAGTATTGGTTTTGTCTTTTCAGCTTTTATATATTTGTTGGAAAATGTTGACAAGTGCCTAGTTGTGTCAGGATTATGAATAGCATTGTGAGAGATCTTTCATTCATCTTCATTTCAGTTTCTTAGAACTTATATAGAATATTTGTTACGAAAATGAAAGAATACTACAATAATAATAATACACTATTATTTCGAGTATGATACGTTCTCACTAGTATTATTTCGAGTATAATACACTACAATAATAATAATACACTATTATTTTGAGTATTATTCCCATGGTGGGCCGAGCTGAGGAGATGAGGTCATGTAACATATAGCATGAAATAGAGTAGCTCGGCAGACATGTGACGTAGCGTCTAAAAAGAGTAGCTCGGCAGACATGTGACGTAGCGTCGGCGGGTAAGCTGGAATTAATAGCTTAGCATGTACATCAGCTAATCGGTTTAGTAAGAACGCCGAGCTCGTGTAGACTTGCCAGCTATGCGGGGATAAGATCGGGTTCAGGAGCTCGGTTTTCAGTCGACCTAGCAGGCCAAAGAGAGGGGCCGAGCTCAACACAGCTCGACATGTCATGGGAAAGCACAACGAGAATGTAGGGAGATGAGCTCGGCCTCATGAATGGAGGTGGTAATGCCATGGCACGGTGTTCCCGTTCACATGGTGTGGTACTACTGGTAATCACTTTAAGCGATATGGAGAGACAAAAGTGGCTCGGCGGGTACATCATTCAAGTCAAGTTGTCATGATAGACGAGCTAAAAAGCAACGAGATGAATTGCGTGGGGCCGAGCTGAATAAGCTCGGCCGGTATCCAGGATCAGTCGCATATATGGGCGGGATAGGATATGGTCGACGTCAGGACTAGCCCGGCACGTACCTGGGAGGTCATAGGAGTTGGGTAAGTGCTTTCTTCATTTGTTTTTTCAGTCGCCGTTATGTTTGGAGCCTATTTACTAACTTCATAATTTTTGTGTTTGGAGTGCGGAGGGCGGCAGTCCAGAAAGCCTCGGCAGTTCATGATTTTCCGCTGAAACGAATGGTGGATGGGTGGCGGCGGAGGTTTGCGTCGATGAAGAATCTTTCAAAGTTGCAACTAACCGGGGTTTTGCAAATAACCGGTTGAGGTTTGAATTTTCTTTATTAATTATTGCATGTGTCGAAAATAGATTTTGCACTTATCAAGGAATCCATGACATGCTTGCAGGACTGCATATCATTAACGAGACAACGAGTGAAAGAACTTGAGAAGATTCTGAATGAAGCAATCTCCTATATGGAATTCGACTGAGAAAATTTGTGCCGTAATTGATATTAGTCGTTAGAGCTTTTTAATCGTTTGTTTTTGTTTATTTGATTTTCCCTCACCTTGTGTATCTTTTGTACTCGGTAGAAAAAAATGAAATGCCCCATATAGGTTTGGAGATGTGTTCATATTTCATAGACCTTAGCATTGTTTGTCAGTTGCGTTAGCCGAGGTGGGAGTAGTTCCACTCGCCGAGGCTGGTAGTGCTAGGGTCAGCGACGGTTCACCTATTGGTTTAAGTTCGAAGGAGGGTAGGAGGTTGAATTAGTTGACGTGGCTAATTCTTCTAAACCACATATTACGACATGAAAAATTGTAGAAATATTAACGAAAGATAATGACTGAACGGGGATATAAATACTTGCTGCAATTATGTGTCGAGTGGAAAAAAAAATGATGAACAAGGAAGGAGAGCACTTACCCATGAATCCGCCGGACATGAATGTGGAGATGGGAGATCGGGAATTCTGCTGGCCGAGCTTGTTGGCGAGAGGAAAGCAGAGCATCGGATTTCAAGAGCAAAGGAGGAGAAAGACTGAAGGGAGCGAAATGGGAGAATGATGAGTCAATATTTATAGGGGGTCATTTGGGAGGAATTCAAAGGGACGGTCGATCTAGACTCAAGAGCGGATCGACGATGCAAGATCAAGCATGCTGAGGAAGATAGAAAATTTTGGAATAGCTCATCATGGATCAGTAATATATGACGAGCTCAGCGTTTCCTGAATGCGACGAGCTCCGGGTGTGTAAGGAGTGCCGAGCTCGTGGTTTTTTGTCAAAGATGGTTTTCTGTGGATGTGACAGGTGACGAGCTAGCTGTTTTGCCGAGCTCGTGGTTTTTTGTCAAAGATGGTTTTTTGTGGGTGTGAAAGGTGACGAGCTAGCTGTTTTGCAGAGCTCGTGGTTTTTTGTCAAAGAATGTTTTTTGTGGATGTGACAGGTGACGAGCTGGCGGTTTTTGCCGAGCTTGTGGTTATTTGTCAAAGATGGTTTTTTGTGGATGTGACAAGGGACGAGCTTGTAGTTCTTCAGCTATATTGAAATCGATGTTTATGGTGGGTTCCTTATTACGTTCGGATCGATTGCAGTTTGGATGTTTCATATTATCGCCTGTAT